ACACATTTCATAGGAGCATGCGCACCTCCTGGATGGCCACGAACTTACCAACCAGGTCCGCGCACAGCATGGGCCGAGGCAAGGTGAGGCGGAGACCAACGGTTGGCAGGAGGCTGGAGACCCCGTTTATTGCTAACCAAGGGTTATATCTACTGGGGGGAGGGGGCATGATTATAGGTAACCACAGGTCACAGGAAGGGGCAGTACAATAGGCATACAAGCATGACAGGAAGGGGATGAGCTAGGGGTGTACACATGATAGGAAGGGGAGGGACTAGGGGTGTACATGTGACAAGATGGGCAGACCTTAGATTCAATATGGCATCCTAACCTTGGTCACCCTTGAGTGGGCTTGACCTCCCTGAGGTCTCCTACAAGGAAACAGTCAACTATTATCCTTATCAGAAGGGAGTGGGCCTTACTTGTTGAGGGATAAACAGTGGTGACTGCTTGGTCTAGATGGCTGATAACCCTCAGGGAGAATAGTTCCTGACATACTTCTGATGACCTCCAAGTGGATAGTCATCTGCCATGTGTGGCAAGTTTGGTATATATTTGGGGGAGACAACTTGAGAGAAATCTTTCTGTTTCCCACATTTTTCTAGGCTGAAATCTTTCTGGGAGAACCACAGATAGCTGCTCAACTAGCTGTGGAGTGCTTAACTGTGCACGCCAGAGTGAGCACTCCAGTGTAGTACCACATTATCACTCAGAATACACCAGTTGTAATACATTAACACGAAGGATATAAAGGTAGCGGGTGGAGTTTAGCCTGTCAATCAGGTTGCAGCTTGATGACCTCATTTGGAGGCACTACGGAGCTAAATAGCTTGCCGGAGGCGGGGCACACTTTCTCTGCTTGGTATTCCTGATGACAAGACACATGGAGCTGGAAGAATCACAGGGAGACCCATGCCACCGCTGAGATGCTAACATCGCCACTGGCTCCACATGACTTTCCACACACTGGCCAGGGATCTTGGCCTCGTTGCATGTATTGCATGAGTCTGAAGAGGAATTTACAGACTGCTACTGGACATACTATAGCAGACTTATAAACTTTCTTAAAAAATCATTTTTGGGGGGGCTCATACAGCTCTTATCACAATACATATATACATCCATTGTGTCATGCACATTTGTACATTTATGGCCATCATCATTCTCAAAACATTTGCTTTCTGACATAATGGATGTATGTTTGTATTGTGATAAGCATTGTACGAGCCCCCAATAAGATGATTAAACAAACAAACAAACAAAAACCATTTTCTTTCTACTTGAGCCCTTGGTATCAGCTCCTCATTTTTCTCCTCCCTCCCTCATGAACCCTTGATAATTTATAAATTATTATTTTTTCATGTCTTACACTGACCGATGTCTCCCTTCACCCACTTTTCTGTTGTCCATCCCCCAGGGAGGGTTATATGTAGATCATTGTGATCAGTTCCCCCTTTCT